CACCTCAATGTATTTATTTCTCCTCCTGTTTATTCATTTTTTTTCCTTTTTGCACTTATGTCTGTGAGATCGGCCTAGCTAGAGATGTATTTTGGCCACATAACCTCCTCTTTCTCACTGAAACGTATATATTTGTGTGTGTTTCCTTACCCGTGTCTCTGTGTGTGATATTGTAGAGCTGGGGACTTATGGCAAGCTAAAATATTATCACTCAATGACCGAGGAAGGTAAGACTCTTTCTGTCAACCCTCATGTTTCTCTCGTTCTGCTTCACCTCTCTACCCACGATGCCGTTTGTTCATACGTGTGTGAGAGAGAGTTGTATTCTCCATTTTTAGTTTCATGACCCTCTTGCCGAGATTTCACTCACATAAGTGCAAATCGTGGTTTTCATCCGTAATCGAGTGTCATTTTGAATTTTTTTGGTTGTTTCTCTTTCACCCTGTCCATTTTTTTTCTTCCGTTTTGGTTGTTCTTTGTAAGTTTGTTATTGATTTGTTCGAAAGGGATTTATATATATATATATATAAGTGCATGATCAGAATATTTGAAGTTTTTTAAATTGACTACAGTACAGATTTGACAGCAAAAAAGCTGAAGCTGGACATTTGTACAATTACACTAAAACAGCTTTTATGTGATAAAAAAAACTCGAAACTATCAATCAGACGACAGGAGGCATGGCGTAGATTGTGCACGACCAGATTTTCTGTAAAGTTTTGATCACATGATAATTTTAGGCTTTAGAAATGTATCAAATATTATACAATAGCTATATAGGGTTACAATTTGAATTTTCTGGATTTGAATGTTAACACAACTAACCTTTATCAGATTTGCAATCTTTCTTTTTTGAGGAAAGTGGATCAAAATGTTGATGATTCATCTAATACTAAACATTTCTATCCAATCAGATGCTTTAAAGAATAATAAAAAAAGTCTCTCCCCAAATGCCACCTGACAAAGAAATAGCAAGTCATGATTAATGACTTTTGTTAAATATCCTTCCCAAACATCCTCTTTCAATAAATACATCCATGCATGAAAGACAACTGGCTGCTTGTAATAGTCTTTCAAGTGCATTGGCTAGAACGGTGGGTGGAATGTACACAAACACGGCAGAGTTTTCTGATAACAAAGCTGTGTTACTCATCACCGTCTGTAACCGCTCAGCAATCCGTGAGAGTCAGATAAAACTGCTGGTTGCACAGAAATAGATGGTAAGAAGCGTACATCACAGTGTTGAGGCCGAGAGTAAGTCATTCCATAACTAGAGTTATGCAAGGGATAATGCAATAATAACAGCCCGTCTCTCTCTCTTATGTCTCACTAATGCAATAATGTCACTTCTTAGACATATGTTATGGCTGAATTGCTTAAGTCTCTTTGAGGAGGCAACAGAATCTCTGTGTGTGTGTGTGTGTGTGTGTGTGCGCGCGTGTTACACAGTGATAGGCTTCTAATTTTAGTTCCCTCCTCCATACTAAACAGACTTTGATGTTGTAAGATTCAGCATGGGAAGGTACATGAGTAAATATTTTATTTGACTCTATTTAGAGAGAGTCTGCTTTTATTCAGAGTAACCCAACGAAAACCTGCACAATACCTGCCTATAGTAAACACCAGTGAAAAAGAAGTGCACTTAATTCTATTGAATGTGCACTTGCAGTATATATATATATATATATATATATATGTAAGTATTATGTATATATAAAACTGTATTTGCAGATAATATAATTTTAATGAAATTAAAGTGACTTGAGAGACACTTCCATGACTGTTTCCGAACACACTTAAGTACGCTTTTAAAAAGTGACCTTTGCAATAATGTAAAAAGTTTTACTTTAAAGTACATTTTAAATCATTGTTTTAATAATATTCTGTTGTGCTTTAAATAAGTACACTTATTTTGATTTGTTGACTAACATGCTAAATCATGTGTAAAGTACTTGATTATCATTTTAACTGTAGTGTGTTATTTGATATTACGTTTCAAGTTAATATATTTTAAATTAATTATGTTTTAGATTTTTCATCATTGTAAATGTTTAATGGCAAATATATTTAACTTTAAAGATTCAAAAATATATGCAACTTTTGAAGTCAAAAGATGTAATTATGAAATTATAAAGATGTTCTTAAGTCCTACTTAAGTGGGTCAAAAAATCACTCTAAAGTTGCATTTAATATACATTTAAACTGTGATTCATTTTTGTTTAATTGCATTTAATTCAAACAAAATTCTGAAGTCATTACATTCAGTTTGCACTTAAGTATATTATTTTAAAGTAAATTATTTATATAATAGATACTCTTTAAAAGTAGGACAATGTGTACTCCTTTTTGTGATATTTTTTATTTTATTTGGCTAAAATAAAAATAAATAAAAAGAAAAATGGCAAAATATGGCAACTTGAACATGTAATTACAAATATATTTAAATACATGACAAACAGGTTTCAATAGAAATGGCATTGAAGTATATTATTTTAGTTGATCATAAATGCTTGTACATTCTGCAGTACTTTAACCATATTTCAAAGACATTAGAAGTAATTATGAAATCACATAAAAATGTGTGTAAGTCCTACTTAAGTGGATCAAAAAACTCTCTAAATTTCAGCAAATTGCATTTAATATAGCCTTAAACTATAATACATTTTAATTTAATTGCAATTAAGGGGGTCATATGATGCGATTTCAAGTTTTCCTTTCTCTTTGGAGTGTTACAAGCTGATTGTGCATAGATAAGATCCCTGAAGTTGCAAAGACTAAAGTCTCTATACATGACAAACAGGTTTCAATAGAAATGGCATTGAAGTATATTATTTTAGTTGATCATAAATGCTTGTACATTCTGCAGTACTTTTACCATATTTCAAAGACATTAGAAGTAATTATGAAATCACATAAAAATGTGTGTAAGTCCTACTTAAGTGGATCAAAAAACTCTCTAAATTTCAGCAAATTGCATTTAATATAGCCTTAAACTATAATACATTTTAATTTAATTGCAATTAAGGGGGTCATATGATGCGATTTCAAGTTTTCCTTTCTCTTTGTCTTTAACTTGCAATTGTCTGAAAACATTACATTCATTTTTCAAGTATTTTCACAAGTATTTTTTCCCCATCATATGTACCCTTTTATGAGTACTTCGTTTCACAAGGAAATATTTGCTGTGATTTTGAGAAACCCAACTAACCTCCCCTATTTAGAGAAACTAAAGACTATCCTGACTACAAATTAGTATTATTACACCACATACCCGAACAACTCACAAACCTACTTAGTTCAAACTCCAAAGCCACTTTATATCCCAAACCGTTCCAGGCATGTCAATGATATGTAGGTCACATAACATACATGTGCATGTTGATTGGGGTCACAGCACTGATCGAGCCAGACAGGACAGTCTGTCTATCAGCCAATCAGAGTCAATGATTCCTCAGGAAGGTCAAAGACATTCACTGATCATGATGTTTTCCATTAGTGAAGTACGCATTATGTTTATTGCTATAATGCAAGCTTTTGCACATGTGGTTTAATTCAAACACACACTGAACGAGACAGGAACACGCTGCTGCTGTCTGTGTGTGATCGCCTGAGATTTTACTTCCACATTGATGGATCCTGAAAGGTTGTGCAACTGTATTGATGTTTGCTTCGTGGGTCTGGTGCTGCTCTCGTCATGCTGAGTTTTATAGACTTTGTCTCTAATCTCTTAAACCAGCGGCAAGCAGCTGTGGTTATTGTGCTCTTGGTTTGAAGGTTGCATTTAGGGTCAAATGGTAGTTTGACCTTTTTTCAAGCACTAAGTTACAAGAGGCTGTGCTTAATAGTGAAAATACACACACAGTTTAAGGGAGTCACTGGTTATGACACATGCTGGAGTGACTATATACGATATATGACTATATACTATGCCATATAGTGTTACTTCATATACAGTATATATCAAGAATGCAAGATGTCATTAAAAATATTTGTATTTATTAAACATATTCATTAAGTGTTATTACTTTAGTCCTGGCATGCAAACTAAGGTTAAACTAGCAATATACATCTAAACTAATTGGTATCTGTGGATGCTGCATAGTGATAACCCTTGTGAAAAAGAAGTGTACTGTAGCAAAAATAGTATTTTTTATGTAATGAAAATATGCTTCAATACATAATATGAAATTACTTAAGTGTGAACTAAATGCAATGTTTTCAGAAGCTTAACTGCATGTTAATTGCAATTAAATGAAAACGTACTGTAGTTTAAATTTATATCAAATGCAATTTAGCTGAACTTTAGAGTATTTTTGATGCACTTAAGTAGGACTTAAGTACGTCTTTATATGTAATTACTTCTGTTGTCTTTCAAATATGATTAAAGTACTGCTGAATGTACTGAGAAATATTTATATAAAGTATAATCAAAATATACTTTAATGTAATTTCTATTAAACTTGTAATTTTTAATAAACTATTAAACTCATTTGTAGTGAAGTTGTAATCTAGTACATTTAAAATACATTAACTTTAAAGATGATATCGATTTAAAAAAATGATAATCAAGTGCTTTAAATGTGCTTTAGTATGTTAGTCAACACATTCAAATAAGTGTGCATCTTTAAAGCACTAAACAATGTTTAATTTGACATTATTACAAAGTGCTCTTTTTAAAAGTGCACTTAAGTGTGTTAAGAAACATTGTCAAGAAAGTGCATCTCTTTAAGTCACTTAAGTGGCCTTTTATTTATTTATTATGATATTGTCTGCAAGCATTTTTTTTAATACTTTTTAGGTTTCCAGTACACTACAAGTAAAATTAAGCACACTTATTTGTGAAGAGTAGGTTAACAGGTGCTTCACTTTTTTTATATTTCTTTAAAAATACAGATTTTTCATATCTAGTAAGTAAAATGAAACGTGCTCACTTAGCTGGGAAAATTGGTTACTCCAAATCACTCACTTTCTTTCTGAATTATTGTTTTTTTTTTTTTTAGGAAAGTTCCGCGAGAAGGCGTCCATCCTTCACAAAATTGCTAAAAAGAAATGCCAGGTGGAGGACTCAAATGGAGTTGCTGGTAAGTGGTGGTATAAAATTGTTATGCGAGGTAACTACACAAAGTAGCCAATGTACTGAATTTGTGTCTAGCTCTGTTAAACTTACCATTGTGTGTTAAATCCAGCACTGTAGTGAACAAGAACCAGCTTTTTTCCAATCTGATCAAATACAAAAAGCTCCTTAAGGTTACAACCACTCATGCACTTTATAGAAACGAAAGGAAGTATCGCAATCCCATAATATTGTTTGTGTGTTTGTGTGTTGAAGACACACATGGACTTTCATTTCAAGTGGGAAATTATGCTAACAGTTCCATATTAGCATATTAGCATCAAAAGCAGGGCGGTTGAGAGCAGCTTCTCTGATGTGGCCAAATAACATCTTTAACTCTTTCAAATCCATCTACTGCACTTTCATCATATTTTTGCCAATATTTCTTCACTAACAACCCTACCATGATAATACCATGTTTCTTTAGACATATACCTTGGCTAGAATGTGGTAATCTTTCAGAGACCAAATACGGTACTATGCAAAGGCACAGTATGTGAGTGTTTGAATGGTTTTTGAAAACATGGAAATATCTGGGAAGTTAAAATTGTAATTTCCAGGCCTGGTAAATTACCCTTCTTCTTTCTACAGATGTGGCGCTCATAGCGTGAGGCGCTGAAAAAAACAGTTGCTAAAGACTACAGTACACTAGACCAGCCTTAGAGTGATTTATGTGGGGACTTTTGGATATATGTGGTTGATTTGATTAATTTGGTCATTTAGTCAAGACAAACACACTTCACTTACTTCTTTTCTGTTTGTGTTATAGAAAAGAATCTGCCAAACAGCTCGAGTGTCGAGGTGGACGTGACGCCACCGATGAATGGCACCGCTGGACAGGACGGAGATACGGTGAGGCACTTAAATAAAACACATGTGCACCAGGGTTATTATTGTTATCCAAAAAAATATAATCTGGGTATTAATAGGCCAGAGTGGCATTTGCCTACTCATTTTGTTCTGAGGAGTCGAGAAGCGTCTTAATCCACAGAGTTGTGGCATAAGGGACTTTACGTCTCCATTCCCTCCATCAGAGAACCAGGGTTACCATACGTAACCGAGACGTTCCCAGACGGACACTTCGACATTGTGTCAAAGCTCCGACACTAGGGGTCCCTATACTGAACGCCACAGCTGCTGAACTGTGTTACGAGTCCATTGGGGCACAGATGTTGACAAGCCCAGTGTGCCACGACCAAATGCATCTCACCTCCTCGTAACCTTCCAACATCCAAGACTTATGACCTTACTCTCCAGAACAACAGGTCCGCGGGAATTCATCCGGCAGAACTGCTCCCACAAGATCTCCTTGCTCTCCTTCAATGCACATCATCGAGGCCTCGTACCCAGAAGTAGAAGGGCCAGGATGGGAAGCAGCTGAGGTGCCTCGCAGTGTTTATAAAAAAGAAAGCAAGCCACGAGCGCAACTTGCCGATGGCCATGTCCTCACAAGAAGAACATAAACCAATCGTGTCTGTCAGTGGGGTGAGATGCACAAACTGCAACCAGAAGGACACGGATGGAAAAGCATGATGTAAACACACACAAATCCACCCGTGAACCTCTTTTAGAGAAATTGCTCTTTTAAGAGGAAATTTGCTCCCAAAGATTGCTGTTGAAGCACCCAGGGGTACTCTCACAACACTTATCTGTGTACGGGCGATGGAGAAACCGCTGCTTGTGCCATAGATCCAACAACGAGGAGATTGAGATGTGATTACAGTGCTGCATCTTCCAAAGAGAAGCTGCATCAGCTTCGAAGAACAGAATGAGAGAGCAAATGCCATGCCGGCCTATTTATACCTGGATGTCCGGGGTGTGGCAAGCTAAGCAAATTTAGCTCACCAATTTCATTAGCCTTTTCTCAATGATGGTGATGGGGTGAGGTGTCTGGGCCCCTAGTGTCGGAACTTCGACACAACTTCAGGAAGAGACCGACTGAAAGGGAACTAAAATTAATAAACTTTAAATTACCCAAAAAAAATAAATATGAAATAAAAATACCAAAATTTTAGAATAAATGTATATTATTATCATCACTATAGCTTTTATTATTTTGAATTACTTATATAAAGTATATATATAAAGTAATTCAAAATAATGAAAGCTATAGTGATATCTCAGTGATACTAAAATAAGACCGATGTGCACTTACCACTGTACACTAAACTCATTATGCACAGCGATTTCAACACTAAAACAGGACAGAAAGTCCCGCTGACTTTGCAAACAGAAGTGAAGGCCAAGTCACGGTTGAACTGCAGAAACCTCACGCTTATGATGACTCAGTGGAAAACACGTTTGACCGTCCATCTCCCTCCCGCTGGCCTGCGTCTCCTCATCTCTCTTTCACACACACACACACACACACACACACACACACACTGTCCTGTGTTCAGAAGATGAAGCGCTCTCATCCTATGCCCCCTGTTGGGACGGCAACATGCCAGCAGAACAGACGGCCCAGCATGCATGCGGATCTAGAGAGACCCCCTCAATGTCATGCAACCTGCTCATGAGAGCCCATCACTCCTGAACTGTGCTCACACGTGCTGTAGATCAACACAACACTGCTTTTTCTTGCCATAAGCAGATGAAGTGGTTTTACATGTAGCCAGGTTAAGGTCATCAGTGGTTAAGCATGTATTCACACAGTATAGTTTATTTATTTACACATTCATAGACTTTAGTTGGAGTAAACAAGAACACATTTTAATTTGAGATCTGATAGTGATGCACTGAACGGTGTGTTTTAAATATGTGTTATATTATTGTTACTCCTTTTAAAGGTGAACTAATTATATAATATATA